TTTTTAAAAATAAAGATTTATTCATATGTATTAGGAGTAGTAGCATTGAGTCTTAAGACTGCTAAATAGTAATATATTCTGACAGTTTAACGTTAAACTAAACTTTTATTTTGACGGGTTGCCGTGAAGAACTTGCAGCTGCTGTGTATGTGATATGACGGTAGTTTTCTCAAATGAAACGGTAAAATGCTAATGAAGTGAGCAGCTGGAGCAGCTGGAGATGACATTCGTGTTCATATCATCATATAGTGAGACGGCAGAAGCTGAAAACACCACGAGCGTCATCCGCGCTTTAGTATGTGTGTAGTAAACAAAACAGTGCGCCGCGCCATCCCCCATTCATTCATTGCGGAAATCATGGGGCCTTATGCGTGATATGAAATGCTTCCGCATATTTATAGTATTACTATAGCATTTCACCTGAGCATTGCGAATCACGCGAATGGCCATGATAAGCGCTGAATGAATGACAGGCTTTCTGTTGTAACATCGCGCAAGGTAAATAAGGGTGACATCTAGTGGAGAAGACTAATGATAAGATTCACGTTAATCAGATCTTGTTTTAAATGTGTGCTGAAATAAATCCCGGAAAAGATCGATTCGCGGCTTTTGAGAATCAATATCGAATCGACGTTATTTACAAAAAACCCCGCGCTTAATTTGAATACAAAAACACTGTTTAAAATGGAGTAGAAAAGTGTGAGGTTTCTAAAAAAATAATGAATAGAGCATAACATATACTTTAGTCTACAACAGGGTTTCTCAAACCTCTCCATGAAGTACCCCCAGCAATGCACGTTTTGTATGTCTCCCAATGTCTGACACACCCACTTCAGGTCTTGCAGTCTCCACTAATGAGCTGATGAGTTGAATCAGGTGTGATAGATGAGGGAGACATACAAAATGTGCAGGGCAGGGGGTATTCCAGGACAGGTTTGAGAACCACTGGTCTACAACAAGGTTTAATCTGGTCGCAGAGCAACACAACTGGATTGCCTACGTAATCCACGAAACAGAGCTTCACACTTGCGCAATACGGAAATATCTGCTAAATGTGTTACTTATCTTTGTCAACCTGGCAACCATGTGCACACTAGGGCTGTCGCGATTCGTCGTACATGCGTGTAAGGACGTGCGTCACACAGCGGCTCCTTTCACAGTAGTTCCACAGGAACTGTTATCATTTACATGTGTAGAGCGTCTCAAACTTCATCTCTGCATGTTGTTGTGAGTAGGTATATTATAACGTTCATCTGGGAATGCAACATGCTCCATTTCATCAGATTTGTAAGGTAAATCATTTATAAATCTACGCAAACACAGGAGAATACATCGCGGTTTCAAAATAAAACCTCAAACCCTCACTCTGAGATTACACGTTTTGATGTCCACATATTCTTTTAATTACAGTGACTATAGCATTTCTGTCATAAAGAAATGGCCAAATATTAAAGATTAAGTGGACATTTGAATGAAATGGTGCTTGGTCAATATTAAACAAGGATTAGATCGCACAACAATGTGTAAAAATAATCATCAGGCCGTTGGGCGCCAACTATTCCACAATAGAGCTAATGTACAATTACGCATTACAACAAAGCTGCAGGCCTTTGTTGTAATGCGTAATGTACATTAGCTCTATTCTTTATAGCTTGTATTAAAATAGTTGTGTTTTTGTGGGGAAATTAATCGTTTAGATTAACCGACAAATTAGTCGGTAGATTAATCGAAATAAAAATAGTCGTTAGTGGCAGCCCTAGTGCACATGCTCTCTCTCCACTGTGGATAAACGCGCCTGCTTTCAGAAAACACTGGTAAGCTTGCAGTTTAGCGATCTCCACTTCAATATTCTATTCTCAGAAAAGTGTAATTCATCAAGTGTTCATTTATGAGAGAGAGAGGCTGTATATGTATGAATTACCACCGTTCTAATAACACAAACAGTGAAGCTGTGGCTTTAAGTCCTTTAGAAACGATGTTACCAGCTACTTGTTGAGAAAGATAATGTAGCTCTTAAGCGATTAAGCTATTTTATTGATAAAATTGCGGGGCAGCGCGCTTATAAGTTTGTGTTGCTGAATGTCTGAGTGCAGCCGCAGCGTGATCTGTGTGTGTGTGCATGAGATACAGTGAAGACAGCGCATTAGTTTAGAACTCTTCTAATTTTAATTTTAATTTTTTTAAATGTAGAAATTGTGTTAATTTGTGCAATGATAACCTACCAGCAATGTATGACTTTGCTGGTGATGCACAGCCCTAATAATGTTTGCTCTTATCTTTCATGGAGATGCTTAAAGTCACACAGCATGAGTCTGATGATATATATATTGTCTATGTTTCAGGTGGAGAATGAAAACAATCCAGAAGCTGAGGCTGAGCTGGACACTGATGTAAAAGAGGAGTCCGATGAGGAGGAGGAAGATGTTGAAGAATCCGGCCGCCTGCGATTTAAGACAGAGCGCAAAGATGACACAGTGGTCAGACTCTCTGATGCCACCAGTAAAAGAAGGAACATCCCAGATACATTAGGTTAGTTACAGACAAATGAAGCACCTTTTTGTACTGTTATAGGTATAAAAATCTTACATAAGCCCATAAGAAAAAAACTGGACAGTAATTGTTTCTCATGTGGATGTAAGATATTTTCAGCATTTACAGGAGTTAGTCTATTATTTTATTGCCATCCGAATCCAGAATAACAGTGTTTTTCTCCCACCACCCGTGTAAAAATCCCGCCAAATTACCTACTGTTTTTTTTTATACACACCGAGGTTGTGTGGTAAAGTAATTGCCGTTCGAATCCACATCTCTGAGTTTACAAGAAGAAATCGGTGCAAAATTCACTGTTTAAATCGTTTTTGACCACTGCTGAACACCGTACGTTAACTGTTGCACTTTTCTGTAATTTGCAAGCATATTTATTACTGAAATAATGGGAAGTATTTACAAGACCAATATTTCGTAACGGCTTCACCACAGCTAGTGGGAGCTGTTAAAGGGGTCATATGATGCTATTTTAAAGATCATTATTTTGTGTATTTGGTGTAACAGAATATGTTGACATGCTTTAATGTTCAAAAAACACATTATTTTTTAAATACTGTACATTATTGTAGGTCCTCTATGCCCCGCCTCTCTCAAACAAGTCGTTTTCAACAAAGCCCCCTCCTTTGACAAGCACAGTCTGCTCTGATTGGCCAGCTGACCCAGGGCCGTGGCTGACTCTTAACTTTTATAAAGAATATCTCTTTGGATTTGAGACTTTAGTCTTTGCAACTTTACAGATCTTCTTTATGCACCAAGAGCTTGTAACACTCCAAAGAGAAAGGAAAACTTTAAGAACAAAAAGAAGAAAGAGGAAAAGCACGTGAACATTTGAAATGGGTAATTATTATGGCAGCGATTATATACATAAAAATATAAACCGAGCAGCTTTGTGTTTATCTTATGTAAATAAGAGGTTGCATTAACTTATTTCTCCTAATCTCAACATTTTTAATGACATTTAAAAAAAAAAAAAGAGATTTTGCAAAACCATTTCAAATGAGTCTATTTTCCTATTTTTGAACAGGCAATTTAAATGATCAAATAATAAAAATGATATTGTTGTCCTATTATTAAATTAAATATGAATTTATTCTTATTATTCCAAGCCTATGACATTTTATTTACAGCAGACAATCATGCGACTGACCACAAGAGCAGCACATTTCAGGGTTTGCAGGATCCCAGAACTCACTTCTCCACTGTGAATAAATTGACATCCGAATCCATGAGTTTTATCACTGAGGTGCCGTGTAAATTTATTTTTACAGACGTCCACATGAAAAACATTTACCATCCGAATAGAGCTATAGTCTTGTTTTGAGTCACCTGACCATTATTCTAAATACTACAGTTCCTTTCAGTTAATAAGGTAGACCTACTGGGTTAATATGACATAATGTAAATAATATTAATGAGCAAAGCCTTTCTAGTTATAGAGTTTTACCAATATATTTTTGTTCATCAGATGTTCATAAGGTCATCAGTGAAGGCTGTAAGGTGAACTGAAAATATAAATCTGACCATTATCTAATGTCCTTTTGTATCTATACATTTTTAAGTGTAGCTCATGTTTCTGATGTAATTTTATATTCTGTTTTGATGGCTAAAATTGTGACCGTAACATTTCAGACTTTTTTAAAAAGCTGGCACTGTGTCCCATTTTTTTTACTTGATTTTTAACTTGAGTAACCAAGTGCTTATAAACAAAAATGTTATATTAATATCAGTTTATTGACATTATCCTATTTATGAGCAGGAAGAAAAAGGTTAAATTGATCCTTCATAATTATCAACTGCCTCATTTTTCAAATATCACTATCGTAACTCTCATTATCAAATAAATCTGTATTTTTATTTGTCTTTACTTTAAGAGCTCTCTGATGAAGCAAAAGCAGATCTGTGGGAGTTTGAGGAAAAGGAACGTCAGAGGAAGCAGGGCCGTTTTGGAGGACGAGGAAGAGGAGCAGATGGAGGGAGGGGAGGAATGGCAGGTAGAGGTGGAATCAGGGGAAGGGGAGGACGAGGAGTCAGTGGAAGAGGCGATTTCCCTCTATTTGGAATGGGAGGTTTCCGTGGTGTTGGAGGTCGAGGGATAATAAATGAGCAAAGGCCTCCGCTGATGCAAGTGAACTTGGGAATGCAGGTAAGAGACTGACGGTCTGAAATGACACACACACACATACAATACAAATGCTCTAACTGAACCTGTTCTAATAACACAAATAAAATTTTGTGATATGACACCTTTAATTAGAAATTCGAGATGCACAAATCATATGACCAGCAATTATTATCAGCCAAGTTGCCATTGCAAAAGGTGTGCGCAGTTGTCATTGATGCAAGTGGATAAAGGAGTTTTTTTAAAAATAAAACATCACAGTCAGTAAATTAAGCAACAGACTCCTCACAACATTATGAAAGAATTAACATACATTTTTGGCATGCACCAATATTACTTTTTCCAGAACGAGTCCGATAAAAAGCAATTTTATGAGTACGAGTACAGGAGCTCAGTATTGGGCCCAATACCGAAACCAGTATCAGTGCATTACTAATTAATGTCATAGGGATTACAAATTTTTCAGTTGTGTGAATTTAGGCTTAGAGTGGTCGTGAAATAATACACATTTTTCTTTCTTCAGGTGAGAGAGCAAAATTTATTATTGTAATATGATAATAATGTTAGGGTGTACATTAGAGTTCATTAACGTTATCTTTGAAAGGACTAAACGTAGACCAGGTGACCCAAATGAATAAAACTCTGTGTTCACACTGAAATTGTACTGTGTTGTCTGGTGTCACTATCTCGCGAACGCGCTTTCGGATCTCCACTCAATTCGGGGGATCCCTTCAGCTCGAGGAGCCCTCTTG